ATTTATAACTTCCTGAAATCATTTAAATATTTAAATCGTTAGTACCTAATAGCTATAAACTTTAATATTTTTACATAAATATTTCCGGTGCTTTATATTTCGTAAAAATTGGATTGCGATTCCGGTAGTTATTTGATCCACTAAGAATTTTTGCATGTGTAAAGCAGACACAACTGTATTTTGTCTATTTACATACGATTTTAAATATATTTATTTATACCGTATTAAATTCATAAGGTATGCGGGTACTTATGTTATAAAATTTTATTTAAATCATTATATTATTGTTTTTCCTCAAATACCACACTCGATAGGACGTTGATACCATCATTTTCAAAGTCTAAAGCGATCAATCTTCGTCAAATTTACGATAATCTATCTACTAGCACTGTTTATAATTAGATTTAATCTAAATCATTCCCTGACAATATTTATAAGTTTTAAAGACAATAAAGATTACTAACTGTTGAGGTTTTTATACACCTAAAAATACATTACTCCGTTTTTAAACAGTATGTGTCTTATTCCAGGTGTTCTTAAACTATCTTAATGATGAAGGAAATAATTGAAAAAATAGTAAAATGTAATTGCCCTTATTATCCCGAGTTGACATTCTTATGTAAATAATTGCTAATATGTGCATACATTGTTATCTACGCGAGCTCTCACCTCTTTTGTACTAATAAAGTGTTGTTTTCTTCCTTTGTTCCTATTTTTTACGGCGGTTTTGAATTTGTAATGCAATGTTTTCTAGTATTGATCACTTAAATGCAACATGTAGGTTGTTATAAAAAAGGGCAAACAGAGATAAACATCTTAGAAAAAATTAAAAATCTAATTTAGTCATACAGAATTTTTAGCCCCTATGTTTATAGTAATGTAAGTGAATATACATGGTATTCTAAAAAGACTGGAACTATCCGATAACTTTTCTTGATTTAATTATGTCGAAAAAATTTCAGATAAAAGTTGTGGGATATTGTGAGGTTGAATATGATCTTTACGTTAATTTTCAAGGTCAACTTGAAAATTTTAAATAGAAAACCCTATTTTTCTATGGTAACAATCGACAGAGTGTCATATTCTACGTCCGACTATGGGATCAGAAAATTTTTCCGGGATGTTCTTGCGGGTATTTGGAGGTCAAACTCAATTTTCTCTGAATATTATCTTGATAAAACCGTTTAAATTAGATGGTGACCTTGGGTTTGACCTAACGATAATTAGATGTCAGCCTATAGAATGGTGTTTCATCAAAATGGTTGTCAAAATCGTACTAATAGTTTATTAAATTCTATTACTTTTATAGGAACATTATTTTTTATGGAAAATGAGTTTGACCTTCAAGTTACATGCAAGGGCATCCTAAAAAAATTTATTTGATCCTAGAACATAAAATTTTGCGTTGTATTGGTTGCTGGCATAAAAATGGCGTATTCCATTTGATATTAAAACGATCTTATTTTGACCTTAAATCATATGGTGAAGGTCCCATCCAAGGTCACATCCTTCAGAATTCGACATTGTCGAGTTACTCACAGAAAAAAGTGTTTGTCCTTCAAATGACATTCCAGGACATATCAGAAATCATTTTCCAACTCCATATCTCTAAGAAATTAAAATCTGCCGTTCTATCGAGCGGTGGCATAAAAAAATAATGTTCCGTGTATTTTCAAGTTGACTTTGGTTGTGACCAAGAAACAAGGTCAAGATCAAATCTAAGACCACCAGCATATTCGTTTACTGATATCGTACATTCCTACAACCCCTGTCTGAAAGCTTTTTGACTCTAAAAATTTATCGGAGTGTTTGGACCTTTTTGGGACACTGTATAACCTATATCGCTGCAGAGGAAGTCGGATCAAAATTTTTATTTAGTTCCCCAAATACTACAACAGTATATTTTTTTACTATTTTACTCAGTTTTTTTATTTGAAATTTGAAATATACATATCTTCTACCTATTATAAAAATTTGTAATACTTTTCCATTTATGTAGCGTAATCAAAACTATGACAGTCTATTAAGGGGGCGTTTTATAAATTATATCTGATATATTAAAGCAACGTTTAAACACACACAGATGTTAGGTAACATATAGTGCAAGGCAAGTAAGTGATAGAAATCAAACTAAATTAGTTAAATCTCTATAAACATAAAAAAATTACAAACGTAAGTCTTGTATTTATTTAAATGTCTTTAATATTGACATTTTAATGTATTATTCCTTCTATTTGTCCATATTACCAAAATTTATGCGTTAACAATTAACTGTAGTATATTATTTTGCATTAATATAGACACAGGGTGATGTCATGTCTTTCTCCAACAAGTTCAATCGCATTATGTTTAAATTACATCATTGATAATGATGTTTTGTCAAGACCGAAAACATTTCGAGACCTGGGTGTTGTATTTGATGAAAAACTATCATTTAATAATCATATTGATACTGTTGTCTCCGAAGCTAATAGAGCATATGGATTTATAGTTCGCAACTGTCGTGATTTTTCAAGCTTAGATGTCATAAAGCTTCTTTACTTTAGTTACGTTAGATCGAAACTTGAATATGCCTCTCCCATATGGTCTCCGCACGGTGGTGTCCACATTAATAAACTGGAATCGATTCAGCGTCGATTTTTAAATTTTAAATCTGATGGCTAATATCCTCATATCGGATATCCGCATGGGGACCTTTTAAATAGACATTGGTTTATTAGCCTTAAAACTAGAGGAAATACTTTTCTTTTCAAAATTTTACGTAATTTGGCTGACTGCCAGGAATTTATAACCAGATTATCATTTTCTTTACCTAGACTTAGCTCTAGAAAAAACAGAACATTTTATTTACCAACTCGTACTAATGTACTCAAATATTCACCACTTTATGAAATCTTGAAATGACTTAAAAATACTTTATTTTTAATGTCTGGTAGTTTCAAATATGTAATTTTAATCTACATTTATGTGTACTATGCAGTGTATAGATTTTATTTATTTTCTTCTTTTTTATGATGGTCTGTATTTTTTTCTGTTCTTTTTAATTTTGTTTGTAATTAATGTACTTCTTTTATTATTGTCTGTAAAATCCCTGTTCTATAATTGGGTAGTACCTGTTGAACAGTGTATTAAATAAAATAAAGTAAAATAAAATAAAAATAAAATAATTTCAACTAATAGTCCAGGCGCTGTCTATTTCGGGTTGGGTAAAACGCAAAGAAATGATAATTTTACTATGCAAATAAAAAAAAAACCTGGGCTTAATTGTTATTGCAAAAAAGTACAAAAAAATAGCAAAAAAATTCATTTTTTTTCATGGATTTCTCGTCGATAACTTAGCAACTATTCATTTTAGACAAAAATGGAAGAGGAAAAAAGTTTTGTAATTAAATTTTGAACAATATAGAGTTAGTTGCAATTCGCAAAAATAATAATTGTTATTGCAAAAATCGGAAAAATCATTTAAAAAATTGCAAAACATGCTAGTTTATTTGTCAATTTTCTTCAGACATTTGAATAATACCTAGGATCTTCATACTTTTCCCAATTAAACTTAGTGCATAGAATCATCACACCAAATTTAATCCAATTCGGTTCGATAGTTTTTACATAATAATTGATAAATTTTATTTTTAAATAAAAAATTTTCAAAATCTAAAAATTTAAAGCTTTTGAATACTTGAAAATTTCACCGCAAAAAGAAGAGCTCTCAAGCTTTAAAATGATTTCTGAAAAATTAAAATCGGACGATTAGGTGAGCCGTGGTGATTGTTTAAACATTTTCGCAATTTTCACGCTTATAAACAATTATTGCAATAATTTAATGTTTTTTTCAAATTTTTTTTATTTTAAAATATGGTTTGAAAGTACTCGGAAAGACGAGTATTTAAAAAAAAAACTGATGATCCGCCCATTATTTTCGGAGTTATAGCCCGTTAAAGTTAACTCTTATTTACAGCAAAACTATAAGGGTANACAAAAATGGAAGAGGAAAAAAAGTTTTGTAATTAAATTTTGATCAAGATAGAGTTGGTTGCAATTCGAAAAAATAATTATTGTTATTGTAAAAATCGGAAAAATCATTTAAAAAATTGCAAAAAATGCTAGTTTATTTGTCTATTCTTTTCAGACACTTGAATAATACCTAGGATCTTCATACTTTTCCCAATTAAACTTCTTAGTGCATAGAATCATCCCACCAAATTTCATCCAATTCGGTTCGATAGTTTTTACATAATAATTGTTAAAAAAATTTTTTTTTATTAAAATATTTTCAAAATCAAATTTCTAAAAATCTAAAGCCTTTGAAAACTTGAAAATTTCACCAAAAAAAAAAAAGCTCTCAAGCTTTAAAATGATTTTTGAAAAATTCAAATCGGACGATTAGGTGAGCCGTGGTGATTGTTTAAACATTTTCGCTATTTTCACGCTTATAAACAATTGCAATAATTTAATGTTTTTTTCAAATTTTTTGTATTTTAAAATACGGTTTGAAAGTACTCGGAAAGACGAGTATTTAAAAAAAAAACCTGATGGTCCGCCAATTATTTTCGGAGTTATAGCCTGTTAAAGTTAACTTTTATTTACAGCAAAACTATAAGGGTATAAGGGCTGTTTTTTGAACTAATAGGTTTGTCATTCAGAGTACTTTCCAGATATAAATTTTCAAAATTTACAATCACGGGCGTCCCATTTAAAATGTCATTCAAAAATATTCAAGACCGCGTGAAATCAATGAAATATTAGTGGTGGGGGGAGCACACAGCTACTCCGATCTGAATTCTCGAGTTCAAAACTGCGACGCTCGGAAAAATTTCACTTATCACAGTTTATTATTTTTTGCAATTTTTTAAATGATTTTCCGATTTTTGCAATAACAATAATTATTTTTTCGACAATCTGTTAACAGTTCAACACCCTGTATCTCTGTAAGGAGGCATTTTGGAACAAATGTTTATCTGACCAATTATCTTGAAATTCATCTCCAAACCATGTTTTAGGCCACCCGGGGTACAAGCGACACATGTCCGTACCGTTAGACATAGCCAAATCCAACTCGGACAGCACCGTGCTGAAGAAGGTGGCGTCCCTGACTCTTAGCAAGGCGGAGTTGGAGTCTAAAGTTACCAAACCGAAATTCGTACCTGAGAAGTTGGACTTTAAGTTATACGAGAAGTTCGAAGGTGAGTGAACAATGTAAGGGTAAAAGTTAAGGAACTCTGGTTTATTGCCGTTATTACAGATTGCTTTCGAAATTCGACCTTTAAAGTGGCTTCGCCGGATGAAACCCCGGTGCGGGATTGATTTTAAATTAGTCGTACTTTGAGCTTAGTTAGACTTTGGGGGGTTGTGGAATCGCACGTGGAATCAATACGATAACATGAAGTTTATTCTGTGAAGTAATAACTCGGGAAAGCATGACAATTCACTGTTCCTAAAATCGCAACAGGAACAAATATTGTGAGAGCTCGATTTTTGCATTGCGATTACACAGTCGCACAAAAAAAGGCCAAGCCCCAGAGAGCCACATATAATTTCCGAAGGAATTCGATGTGCTGAAGACGATCTCGTGATCAAAATTCATGACTTCCCGATGAATTCCGGAGAAAAGTGAAATTTTTGGGTGAACCGCCCAAATATGGACCAATTTTTCTCTAAATTTTGTCCAAATACAGGGTGTGCCATTTAACACCCCATACGTATATGTAAAAAGACCTTCTTACTTATCAAAATATCGAATGCATAATGAAATTACAAAAAAAACGTGAAAAATCAATAAAAATGTATTTTTCGGTGTCTGGCGACGACTTTCACAGACGTTTGCTTACACCATTCGAAAGAGCAGAAAAAAATAAGTTGATTTAAAAAAAGCATCCCGGCAGTTGCTTTGAAAGTGCCACAATCCATTTGTTAAGTAAAAATTTTGAGAAGTTGAGCGCAGCAAGGGCACTATGACGTCACAGCGCTCCCCTCTTCTGGCTGCCTCTTAGCCGCGTGGGCCTTTTAACGAACGTTTACATGGGCATTTCTTGGCCGAATCTATTAAAAAAATTAAAATAAAAAAAAAAAAAATTCAGCGTATAAAGGAAGTCTTCTACTTTACAACGAGCCTAAGTTTATTACAAAATATTAAAAAGAAAAACCAGAATACCGTTTTTAAGAGACACTTTTTTTTTAATTCATGTTTTTTTCAGCACTATTTCTCCTTCCTTCCTCCTTTCGAATCCCCCGATCCCTACCGAATTTCGATATCTTGACTTGAACAGAAGACATACGCTTTCGCATTTTCGACTTAATAATTTTGCAGTAGGCCGCCATTTCGAAATTGGGGGTCCGGATTGCGGGTATTTGTTGAGCACCTCGGCAGTTATCTTTTCCTGTAGTTTCATCCAATCTCAGTCAAATTCGTCCCATTTATTTAATGCTGAAAATATTGCACATTTCTTACTCCACCGCTAATTTTGCAGTGTAAAAAAAATTTAGCGAGATTTTGCAAAAGCCTATCCTTGTAGCAAATTTTCTCAGGAACAGAATCTATAAGTATACCTCATGTCGATTACAGGTTTATTTACCGAGATATAAGCAAAAAACTAAAATAAGAGCAACTACTTTTTTTTTTCTTTTGTTATAAACAATATGACGCTCGATCTCTAGAAATACATAAATTTAGGCTTTTATTCTGTATATTTTTTACTTAGTTTTAAGCTCATAAAATTCGATTTTTGAAACAGGCATGTGTTTGGTTTCATTCGCCCGGATTAAGAATCGAAATACGAATAAAACGAGAGGTCGATCTGATCGGATAATTAGAAGCGAAGAAAATCCGGAAAAATCGGAATATTTAGCGTTTTTTTTTTTTGAGTTGTTGAGCTGACCCTGTGCACAAAAGTAGTGAATTATATTTACTTTAAGTGTGCACAGAGCAGGCGCTGTCGGACCATTAGTTTTGGCAAATTGCAATTTGAATTTTTTTGGATTTCCTGCATTTTTTGACATTACGCGAAATCTTGACATTCAAACGTGAATTTGAAAGTTTTCTTACAAAATGTACTTTCCTGTTCCAATTTAGGTGTCCTTGTATTCCTACCGCTAAGGAAATTTGATTACATTTTGTAAGTTGTTTATGAACGAATTTACAATAAAAAGTTGTTTTTCTCAAAAATATTTTTTTGTAACATTCCTCTTTTTATTCCTGTACCCTTCATTATGTATATTCAAACGAAAAATTTTGCAATAATATTTACCTATTGACAGATGTACATGCTTCTGCTATATCGGAGTCGTTGGTACACTCCATGACACTGGCATTCTTGAAATTTGTCTTGAAGTCATGATTTTCGACTGAAATTCTTTCAAAAAGATATTTAGCTCTCTTGGGTTTGGATTTTTTTGTGTGGCTGTGTTACTGTAGATTTCCCCAAATTTTCAAACAATATTCTATGTAAGTTTGATTTGTTCCTGTTTCGGTTTTAGAAACAATTGTGTGAATTTTCATGAGTGTTTTTTATTTAAGTTTCATTTGCTGTTCGGTAGATCGTAAATGAAAAAAATGCTTATCAATTTGCGTTGACTTAAACAGGTCGAATTTTGAAAACGAAATCTAACCGGCAACATTTTTCATACCCGCACTTCATCAATACATATTTAGATAGAAATATAACAAAAATATGTAAGATTAAAGTCAGTTATCGGTACAAAAAAAGAAATGTTTGTAAAATAGTTTTTATTTAGGGATTGAAAAATATTAGACAATAGAAGCTTGTGGGTAATAATATTTCTTAAATGCTCAATAATGTTATAGATCGCATCATCAGGTATGTTTCTACTCTTGTTTCAGCGAAACGACCGTTCGATATCTACTGATGTAATATGTGCATAATTAAATAATCTACTTCCAAGCCGATCCGACATAGTAATTTCGGGGTTGTATTTATTCCAGCAGGAATGAAATGTTTTATTATCTGCATACCTATGGCAAAGTTTTGTAAAAATTTAACTTCATTATTTTCATACTTCATAGTCTATGAATTTGCATAAAATTTAAAAGTGAATGTTCAAAACAAAATAAAACGGTTTAAAGGTTATTACATTTATCTATAACAATAGGCAATAAATTGTAAAATTAAAAATAATATTTTTAAACTCTTCTTCATTTGTTTATCTGAGACAGTTATTAATAGATGCTGTAAACGATAATAAATTTGTATTATCATAATTTTTAGATAATTTAGGTAATGTTGGAAAATCCACGGCGCTGGTTCACAATTCGAATATAAAAAAAAGTACAATAGTTTTTCGGGTTCATATGCCGTGGCTTACGTTCTCGGTCGCCGCCAATTACAGACTTACATCACACTCCTTAACCCTAGCTAGGAAACTCTGACCTACCCTTGTTGTTCTCGGGCCAGGCTCTGTGGGGGCGGACCCGCTATCAAAACCAGTTACAGAGGCCACTACAGAACGTAGAGAACCACAATTGTAACCATAAATACAAAATTTTAAACGTATTTACTTTTTTCAGTTTTCCATGACTATATTAACTAAAATCTCACTTGACTTGATGAACGGGTGTTCTGAACTCTGAACTCGAAGTTGTTGAAGTTTTATTATAGTCAGGAACAGTCTAATAATATTTATTACTCTACATTTATTTTAAATTGCCCTTAGATGAATTCTCGTATTAATAAAAATGTCAAGAGGAACATGCTGACTAACAATTTACATAAAAATATTTCCCTGAGGTACGAATTACCGATAATTGTATTAACTGATGAGAAGGTAAAATTTAATTTGTGATAGATTTCACTAAGGCCCGTAGACAGTTTACTGTCATTTACCTTTAACATTGATTGTTACAAAAAAGTGTAGTATTTCAAATGTTTAAAGTTAAGTCAAATAAAAAATATAGATCTAAATGGCATAAAATTATACGAAAATAACAAAAGGACTCTCTCTAAGTAACAGTTTAAATGCTGTTTAATCTTGTTTTTGTTTTATAATGGTCCCATCAAAGATGTTTACAGATTTATTACTTTTAAAAGAGGGTATATTTGAAATGTAACCATAAAACCATTTGGACATTGGTTTTAATAAAGCCTTCGAATGAAAATGTAAACGATTCGAGCAACTGTAGAACTATAATCCCTTCAAATGGTTTTAAAAATGCTTTATACATTTTCCTGTAGGTCTCTTGTATGTTCGTATGTCAATAAAGCTCTTTCAAGCTAATTAGGATATGATAGTTAACACAAATTCACTACCGGCGCGTGTACAAATTGATTTATCTACGCAAACATTTACTTTTCAACTAGGATTAAATGGATTTATTAAGGTCAAACTGATTTACCTAGGCTTACAAGATCTTATCGATCTCTAAATTGCATCTAATTATACCTAATAATCTATCTGTTACCTTTACATAATAGTTGAATAAGTTAAAATGAAGATAAAACGATGCTATTTTGGTGATAAATAAATAAATTTAAACCATATTTTAGAAAAACTTTATAAATAAAATAATGTTACGGGGTTTTGTAACATTAATTGAATAAATTGAAATTAAATTTATGGATTAAAAATTTAGAGCCAAATATGCTTCGACACTTTGAAAATAAAAACAAAAAGTTTATTAACCTGACATGATATTCCAAAATTCATATTTTTCCTTGATAACAAACATTCGAAAATAAAACAGCTTTTACGATCATTATTTAAGGAAAATTATCTTTCCGCAGTGCAAAGAAAATCTCAGTAAAATCTTTCGTCTAAACTAAATGCCCTTATTATAGCTTTTATCAAGCTCCATAGGCCTGCACAGAGACAACATAGTAAGTTTTTCACAAAAAAAATTAATTTAAACAATTGAGATCGTTATCCTTTAGGCGTTTTTGGTCTTATTTTCTTCGGAAGCCGTTTTTGTCCACGCCTGTACCATAGACATTTCTCCAAGTCACTATTTATCTACTCGGATACTTAAATATGTCTAAATATACTTGCGAAAATATATACGTATGCCAATAGAATCCCTCGGATTAAGCGGAATTTTATCGTTGACGTCAATAATTTCAATTTTAACTATCCAGTGAAATCTATACCACATTTTTATCTGATGGATAATAGAAATCGAAATTGTATTGTTTACAACACCTGTGAAGTTTGTATAAGCAGGTCGGTTCACTGACTGGGTGCATTTAAATTCGATCCAAATACGTGGTCAATGCGGCTTTTTATTAGAAAACGGAAAGATGGTCGCCTGGAAATCGGGAAATTGTGCAAAACAAAGACGATCGTCCTCTTATGTTATCTTCCACAGAACAAAAATAAAGGTTGGTAAAAGTTTGTCACTTATAATTATTAGATTCAAGAAAATTTTTATGTGTAACTCAAAAAATAATTTAATCTTGAATATACAAAACTGAAAAAATATACGCACCTATATATATTTATTTACACCACTGTATTATAATTGCTAGCAATATATTAATATAATACAGGGTGTAACTAAATAAGTGTAAAACATTTAAGAGGGTGATTCCTCATCGAAAAAAAGATAGGATCTCTCATATAAAGAAACTTCATTGGAGCATCCCTTGTTAAGATACAGCCCCTTAAAGGGGGTACATAAAATTTGTTTAACAATTTTTTTCACAAGCACTAAACAAGTTACAATATTGAAATTAACCTGACATTTTCTACTACCAAAAAGACACTTAGCCAGTAATTTATTTGGTGTACCCCATGGTTGTAAGGGGTGGAAAACGCAACCCCTAAAATTAATTTCCAACGTAACTTTTTGTCTTATTATTTGTTTACCATTTAAAAATTTATTTCCGATAGCCTGTTTCATTCTAAAAAAAAATGTCTCTTGAATTTTTTGCCCAAAATAAACCAGTTCGCAGCAAAAAATTATTTTACGAACAACTACAGAGATACATCGTCATAAATGCGAACTGGATTTACTGTTATTTTGTAGTTACTACCTGCACTAAATAATTAAAGGGGAATAATCAAAACTAATTTATTAATAACAAAACATACAACATGTAGAAATCATAGTAAATGTTCCCCATCATGCATAAAAACCATATCCCTTCTGACGCCCAAAGGAACTTCCTCCAGCAGTACGGGATGCACTTCTCTTAAAAATTGAACGTATGCCTCACCATTTAATCGAGGAGGTAGAAAATGAGGCCCAATTAAATAATCCTCAATAACTCCGCACGTTAAGAGAAAACTGTTCTTGATGGTTAGTTTCGACAATAGCGTGATGGTTTTCATCAGCCCATATGTGGTAATTATGAAAATTAATAATCTTGTCCCGAGAAAAACTACATTCGTCTGTGAATTCGATCGTCTTCAGAAAGTCACGATTTCTTCTAATCATTTCCAGCATCCAATTGCAAAATTCAAGACGGTTCGGAAAGTCTCGCGGTAACAGTGCCTGTACTCGTTGCAGATGGTAAGGGTATAAGAGATGTTCCTTTAAAATTCGAAATACCGTCATATGATCAACATTTAGCTGGAAAGCAATCTTTCTAGTACTGGTAGTAGGTTGTTCTTCTATCAAATTAAGTACTGCTGCCTCAAGCTGTGGTGTTCTTACTTCTCAATGGCGACCACAATCCTGCGTTCTTTTGTACCATATTCACGTAATCGTTGATGAAGTTGAAGAAGAACTGACAGCTTGATTCCAATTTAATTGTCAGTATCGCTAATAGCGGCCTACTAGATAAATTAGTTTCGTATTTTCGTTTTATGGCGATATGTATCTTGTTCGTAAAATAATTTTTTGCTGCGAACTGGTTTATTTTGGGCAAAAAATTCAAGCGACATTCTTTTTAGAATGAAACAGGCTATCGGAAATAAATTTTTAAATGGTAAACAAATAATAAGACAAAAAGTTACGTTGGAAATAAGTTTTAGGGGTTGCGTTTTCCACCCCTTACAACCATGGGGTAAACCAAATAAATTACTGGCTAAGTGTCTTTTTGGTAGTAGAAATTGTCAGGTTAATTTCAATATTGTAACTTGTTTAGTGCTTGTGAAAAAAATTGTTAAACAAATTTTATGTACCCCCTTTAAGGGGCTGTATCTTAACAAGGGTGAAGTTTCTTTATATGAAAGATCCTATCTTTTTTTCGATGAGGAATCACCCCCTTAAATGTTTTACACTTATTTAGTTACACCCTGTATTACAATAATATTATATTACAATATTATATTACAATAGTATTTGGCAATTCTGCTACATTTTATTTCACTATTTGGTAATATTAAGGTCTACCAAGGATTAAATTTATTTTTAGGTCCCTATAAATTCGAATTTATGAATGTAAGTACCTGCTATTTCATCATTTTATAAAAAATTATCTGACAGTATCTCATGTAAAAGTCAAGAGGTCTAGCAGGGTAACGAATTTGATTAATCATACCTACATGTATTGTTGACACAGTCAAGGCCGATCAAAGGACGTGTTTGTAATTAAGGACTTATATTTATCTAGATTATCTGGCTCAGAATGAGACATTTTTATCACCTATATGTAACATTGAAAAAACGCATTTAGATACAGAGCAGTATGAGAATATTCAAGGAATCTAATAATGAAATCTAAGTAATGTAATCAGTAAAATAAATATTGATAATATCTATTATTTCATTAACGAATTTTTGGGTGTACGTTTAGAAACATGACATAAGTTAGTTTTCTCAAATACCGTCGTGAAAATAATTTTTTTTAACCTCTTATTATTCCAATCCTTTAAGCAAGTATCAAGCACTGCTGCTACAAAACTTCTTATTCTTACAGAACCAGATATTACATCTTATAATAGTTTTCTTTTTGTGCGTATCAGTCGCGGCATAATTTATTTATTTTTTATGTTGTTCTGGATGAATTTAAGATGTCTAGCACCGACGAAGTGACCGAATAAGTAAAAAGAGTAGCAATATGCTGCATTTCGTTTAGAATTATATAACTTTTTAATAGTACACATGTTTTAAATTTCTTAATAGCGTTCCTATCTACTTCACGCCGTGGTTGTAAGCAATTGTTTACTTATTTGAAATATATCAAGCGACTGTAGTATAGTTCATTTAACCTAGGTCAATGTTAGAGGTCATTGACACAGGTATTCACCAACTAAATGCAGTGCTTAAAAAAATACTCTCTGTTCTACTCTATCTAATACGTATATATTTAAAAAATATGTAATTATTTTAAAACATATGTACATTACTTTTACTTACAATAATTAGTAACGTATGTCTATCTACAATACCAATATTAGTTATTGTTATTATTTAATAAATTATACAAAAAATACACATGGCCACAAAATTAAATTGAGATTTACTTTCTCTCAAACTAGTTGACCATTATGTTTTTGAAGTCGCTGATGACGATTCCGCTATTCGTATAACCCTAGCACGTCTGGATCAAGGTCAAATAAAGGTCAAATTCCGTTTTTCAAATTATATAACTTTTTTGATCCCGGAATCCGAAACAGCGAGAAATTTTACGTCCAAATATGTGTTGACCTATTAGTGAAAGTGACCTCTGGAGATTATCTGGAAGTCATTCAAAGGTCGAATCTGATATTTGAATCTACCGGCTGATATTTCGTGACCCCAGCGCTTCTAGATCAAGGTCAGATAAAGGTCAAATTCCGTTTTTCAAATGATATAACTTTTTTGATGCTGGAATCCGAAACACCGAGAAATTTTACGTCCAAATACGTGTTGACCTGTTGGTGAAAGTGACCTGATTATTTGGAGGTCATTTAAAGGTCGAATCTGAGATTTGAATCTACCGGCTGAAATTTCCGCTTCGAAACAAGACGTCGGATCTCGGACCAGTTGCCCTTTACGTTTTTTGTGCCGTTGATCACGAATCTAATGTCCACGTGACCCCAGCGCGCCTAGGTCAAGGTCAAATAAAGGTCAAATTCCGTTTTTCAAATGATTTAACTTTTTTGACCCCGGAACCCGAAACAGCGAGAAATTTTACGTTCAAATATGAATATCCTGTTAGTAAAAGTGACCTACATCTGACTGATCCAAATCGACATCAAAAAAATATATTAGCTTAATCTGGTAATGTTACAGTTAATTTAAAGAGGTAACTACTGGCAAGTGACAACACTGATATTGTTTCTCTTGCTGTGATGCTGTGCAGTGGCGGCGACACATGAATTTAATATGCGATTAATGTTATGTACATTTTTAAAATTCATACAAACATTTCCTTCTATTATTGTTTCTTTATCATAACTTTTTTGATTGCAGTTACAATTTTATTGTATTTACCTACTTAATAATTGTTTTCTTTTGGAGACCTTATCTGAGAGTTATTACTTTAGGCCTGTTATCAAACGCTTAACAGAACAGAGATTTGACTATCAGATACCTGCTCCTATTTTGCAATTGTACCCGTCCGTTGGAAAAGTAAAAGTATACCATTAGTGTATCGTAAGCAGACGCAACAAATTATTTTTCTTACGCCCTTCTGTTTTTTATGCGTTCGTTTAGAACGCGGAAATAAAAATCTAGTTAGATATGCTCTTTGAATACACCGAACAACGTGATCATCAGCCCATGCATCCTCAGGGCGATGAATATGTTCGTTTGCTGGTGTCGTTTCGCTGGTAAAGTTCTGTTTTATGCGCGAGATACATCGGGTAAGTCGTTACTAGTTAGAATTTCCATACGAAAAAACCACAATACAGTTTTTGAAAAAATAAGAGTTGGATTTAAGTGAACGAGGGTTATTCTAACGCGCCATGAAGTGCCATGTAAAATTATTCAAATTTTATGGTTATTTTTCCGTCCAATGTTGAAGCAATGAACTAAATTTTTTAAAGGTCACATGCTGGTGAATTGGTATTTGTCAGAGTTCAGCGATGAGCACCATGTCAGTCAGCTTTTGAACGAGCTGGACTTCAAAATTTTGGCTGTGCAGTTCTGTACGCACCTGCTGGCTGCAGGTGTTCTGAAGCAGATACCCGATAAGGACGTCCCTATGTACAATATATTTAAGGTAAGGTGAATTAATTTAATTTTTGCAAGCTACCTGTCAGCAGGTTGTTTAGAGGGTGTGGAAAACTTTCTGGAATAACCACTGCGTTTGGATTTTTTTAAACTTTTGTTCACCAGATTCTCTTTCATTGTTTAATAGCTTCTTTGACTTCATTCCATAAGATTATTTAAAAAAAAATAATTTGAGAAAGATCCTGCAGGTATCTCATTTCAACAGTGGCAGGATTATCATAAAAAAGAGGTGAATTAAAAAGTAACGCCACTTTAGAGGTTGGAAAAATTGTGATTTTCGGGAATTATCAAGGAAAAATCGATACAAGACAATGCTTTGTTGTACACGTTTTCAGGAGTATTTTGAATTTTTTCAGACAATTTGTATGCAAAAGTATCGAAAAAAGACGAAAAATTTTGGATTAAATTGTTAATAACAATAAAAATTGTTAGTCAATCGAAAAACCCCTACTATGTTCCTTGAGTTATGTTGTTTTTTCCTATATTTTTCACACAATAAAGCATTGTTTAAACCATTTATCCGAAAATCGTTTTTTTTCAAAATTCTAGAATGAGGTTACCCCTTAAACGAAGGGAATGAAAAAACAGGAATTAGAAAAGTTTTAAAGAAATATGGATGCATTTGGAAGTACGTAGTAGTGAAATGTCATTTTGGTATTTGTCAAAAGTGATCAGACATAGCCATGAACAAGAATATAGTTAATAGTTTCTCTGAAGATTTAAAATGTTATTTGGTGACTAATATGAGGGGGCGTGTTTTTTACATGGGAAGTTTTATTTTCTATTTTTAGATAATCACATGCCGACAAAATTTGACCGACCCTTTGACCCAGAAATCAGCATGTACTTTCCGAAGGAATTTAGAGAGCTAAAATAAAAGTGCCAAAATCGTAATTTTTTTTTACTTATTTGAGAATATGTACATAGATAGGTTATTTTTTTTACAGAAACCATTATTTGAATCTTAAACTATACTTACTTTTTAAAACGCATTTGGATTTATCCCGATATCATATTTCGTCTTTGAGAAATGGCATGTTGAAATTTAGTAGTTTGATTTATTTCTCGATTTTTGAATATACTGACAACACGGCACCACAAACCTAAATTCTTATCGGAACGTTTTTTTTTTCAAAATTTTTGTTTTTAAATGTATTTTGTGAAAAAAAATAGATCTAAATTATCTGGACCTATCTTCAGTGTTTTTTTTCTCGATGATTACCATTTTTGAAAAAAATTTTTTTCTTATAAGAAATTTTCAAATTTTTTTGTAAATTCTCAAATTTTTTCAGTGGCGTTTTTTCGTTTTCTATTTTTTATTGATTGAAAAATTTTTTTTTCAAATTTAGCTTATTTCACAAACCATTTTGAAAATGTACCTATATAGAATCCCAAAATTGAAAAAAATTATTCTATGCAGCGATTGATGACAATATCAAAATGTCAAAAGGGGTGGGTTTCCAAATAATTTATTTGAATTCAAATGCGTTGTATGTCTAGCCCACTGTTTGTTCAAAAATGGACCAAATAACAACTTTTTTTTTAATTTTCTTTGTTTTTGATTGTAGTGTTCGAAAGATACAAAAAAACTATTTAAAATGATCAATTTTTTTCAAAAAAATTGAAATTTTTTTCATGTTTACCACTTTCAATTATTTATTTCATATATATTTTTTTCTATTTTGGGATTCTACATATATGTACTTATACAATTCCAAAAATTTTCAAAATGGTGTTATGTGAAATAAGCTAAATTTGAAAAAAAAAATGTTTTCAATCAATAAATAAAAATAGAAAACGAAAAAACACCACTCTGAAAAAAATTGAGGATTTATAAAAAATTTCTGTTTTTATAAGAAAAAAGTTTTTTTTTTAAACGGTAGGTAATCGATAAATTTTCGTTTTTTGTTTCGAAAATTGAAAAAAAAACAGTGATGATAGGTCTAGATAATTTTGATCTATTTTTTTTCAAAAAATACATTGAAAAATAAAAATTTTGAAAAAAAAAACGTCCCGATAACTCAATTTTTTAAAAAATTATGGTACTTTTTATAAAAATTCTCAGAGGTTTTCAATGGGGTAGAAAACAAAAAAAGTTTTAGCCAGAAAAGGGTCAGGGTTAAAAGTGGTCGATTTGTTTTGGTAATTTTTTTATTCACTTTATGTTTATAAAATTTGAAAGTATACTATTTTTGTACACTCGCCTGTGTCTAGCTGTGTTGTACGAAATACATTTCTCTTTTAAAATATATTTTTTTAAGATTTTAAAGCCGAGAATAATCGGATCGCTCCTGTAACAATATGAACATAGTGTTCTTCAGGTAGTTGATCAAAAGATCAAAAGGACAAATGTATCTTGAATCACTCATTTAATAAATTTAGCCTAAAGCAAGCACAAAAAAAATATTTCCCAAGTGAAAAGAAAAATGTACTAATCTACATATTAGGGTTATATTCATGTAAATTGCTTACAAGTTTACTTTACTTACTTTATTTACTTAAGTTTAAGCAATCAAGTTTAAGGTTATTTTTAAAATGTTATATAAATACTTGTTTTAATTTTATTCAATTACATTGGATAGTGAATTCAGAAAGGCTAAAATCCAAATATTCGTAAATTTTAACCATTCTTAAACCTCAATGTTATTAAAGTTGAAGAATTTGTCCATTCCTAGAAAGAGAACTTTTAGAACTTCATGAAAAATCAATTAAACAACGCCAACAAAAAAAAAAAAGTGGACTGGACCATGGACCAGACCAGTGTATCCAATGTATTTTTACCACTGTTTTCACCCTAACACGAACAAACTTCTCTAAAAGTCAGTTTTCGAAATTTCAAACCGACTTGAGTAGTCAGTAATTGGAAGAACATTGAAATACATAATCTCATTGCACCATAACCCCATGTCATTATAACCCCATAATCAGGTCACCCCATAACCTGTTATCTCAACAATTTTGATCGCAAAAATTGTACAGTCAAAGAAGCACTATTCGTTTTTTGTAGATACAAAGAGAAAAAAAAAACGGGTAACTTTGTAAAACAAATCTTCATGCCCTGAATCATGGGTTTACAGAAGCTTGCGCGTTCCAGGTTAAGGGGTTACCATGTTCTCTCAGTCTCATGGTATTCACTCCCGCTCATCCCGGGTTACGGGGTTATGAAGCTACGGGTTTATAGGTTCATGGTGCAATCAAATTATGAATTAAAATATTTTTCGGGTCACTCACTGCTCAAGCTTCCTTCCCACACTTAAAATACGTGTCCACACTGCATTGTTACGTTAAAATATATTTCCAGCCTGACTGCATGTACTACTGGAGCCATGCCGAGGCACCGATATCAATTCCACAAACTCCCGGGCGGCTGAGCGCCCTCTCGTGGCCGCCGATGTCGCCAACCGACGTATTCACCCCTCCAAGCACAAACGAAGCAATAAATTCGATACTGATGGACGGTCCGCCTCAAGGAAACACCCTCTTGTCACCCTCGATCGACGAGCTCAACAAACCGAGGCCGATGGAATTCAAAAATTCCGCCAGAGACGTGGAGATCCTCTCCTTAGAAGAAGAGATAAAACGCTTGAAACAGGAAGTGGAGAAATACAAGACTCTCATAGAGATACAGACCTTAACCACAAACGCCGTTATGGATTTTAGTTCGCCCGTTGAAGAAAACAAACCTCTTATTAAGAGCTGTGATAATTTATCTAGTTTAAGTAAGCTAAGCAAGAGTGACAATAAGTTAAATGAACTGAGCAGAGTTGCACAGGTTAATGCGGAAGCACAAGTAGAAACCGACGTCAGGATAAAAAAGAGTAGTTCAGCACAAACGGATGAACTGTTGGTAACTGTTGCACAAGGAACTCAAACGGATGATGATATTACATTTACCTCAAAAAACTTAGCCGAAGCTTTAGATAGAACCTCGAGAGGAACGGAAATGGACAAAGCAGACCTTCCCACATCCTCAGTAACAACTGACGTTCATACTCCTGCGACCAAAAGTGAAAACGAGGCGCTTTCTACTGTATCTCCTGCACCCTGTGCTACAACACCTTTGTCTGATTCAATAGCACAAACAACGACAAAGCTTGTTCCGCCTCCACCACCACCCCCAATTCCAGCCACAATAGCACCACCTCCACCACCAATGCCAGGAACGGCAGGTCCACTCCCACCACCAATGTCAGGAACGGCAGGTCCGCCCCCACCACCAATGCCAGGACTGGCAGGTCCGCCCCCTCCACCAATGCCTGGAACCGTAGGCCCACCCCCTCCACCAATGCCAGGGCTGGGAGGTCCGCCCCCTCCACCAATGCCTGGAACGGCAGGTCCGCCCCCTCCACCAATGCCTGGAACGGTAGGACCACCTCCACCACCAATGCCAGGAATGTTTGGTGTTCCCCCACCACCTATGCCTGGGATGGCAGTACCCCCACCTCCCCCTGCTCCAGGTGTTGGACCTCCACCCCCACCGCCACCTGGAGGACCTGTTCCATTACCAGTGCCACCTGTTGGAGGCTGGAGTACCCAAAAAGCAGGTATATATGTTTTTCTATTTAAATTCGGCCACACACCATGTCTGTTTTTTAGATGCTGGAATTTTGTACTTTCATTTTCGTTCCTCTCATGAAATCTTGCGACTTAATAGAATAGAGCATTCATCTTGTTTAAATGTTAGTAAGTGTTATATGTTACATTACATTTCATAGTTTTCAACATTGCTAGCCAAATAAATTTAACGGATATGTATTCAAGCGTATTATTTTGATATAGAAATATAATCACAAGCATGTATTAATAAAAATGTTTAAATTTTTGAGAAATACATTTTTTTTTTATTGAAACAGATAAGTCAGAACACACATATGTACGTGTTTGTGATTTGTTTTGATTGGTTTTGTTTAATTTTACGAATGTCAGATTCAGATTTTGTTACAACTAAATTTTATGAGTATTATGAAACTTCGAGTTCTCGCATTTGAAAAAAATTCCACACGCATTACTTTTTCACATCACGTTTAAACAAAGTCATATTATAGAGATATAGCTTAGGTGAGCAAAAAGGATAGTAGGTTTAATTAAATTTTGATGGCACCTAATCCCATGCCAATATACGTTCAATAAGCCATAATTGAATTTGGACGACCCTTTACGGGATTTTACGACCAAGCGAAAGGTTACCACGGACTATTCTGAGAGTAGTATCCTAAATATCTATTTTTGTTTCTCTCTATATCATACCCACACCCAAAAACGATTTTTCAATCTACATAATTATGAGAAAGATTATAATAGTTGTTTGATATTATATTTTTGTACATTTGGTGTGGCTTGTTGGCAAAATGGCTAATAAAATCAATGAAACCAAAAGGTATGTAAATAATAAGATAAAGGAATTTCTTTTTCCAAATACATTTAGTTCTTTCCACGTATTTATGAAACCCTTTGGAGCTTTCAAAAAAAACTTATATGACTTTGTTTGAGCTGTGTGCGTTCGTCATAATCATGTTACGTTCATATGTTTTGTATTTTGTTAAGTTGTAGTACTGAGAATGCACCTTTCCTTCTTTATGTTTGTGTAGTGGCCCCACCAGCTCCAGCGTTTTTAGGTAAGAAGAGAGTTTTTTTGTTTTGCCGCTTGTGACGTTGGGCAGCTAGGTATCTTTGGGTATTATATCTGTTAACACAGTATTTTGCTTGTTATTTACTACAAATTGATTTATGAAAACCCTATACGCATCCAAGACACCTTGTTGAATACCATTTTGACGTTATTTTCCAAAGTTGTCCTAAAAATATGCAAACGAAACAAATAAGTTTGCATCTGAGACAATGGAATCAGAAACGGAAACTTATTCATGTCGGTCTGTAAATTTTATCACTACCACATTCTAATGCAGTCGATATAATTTTAAGAATACATTTCACAGACAAAAATAGTAATTTTCAAATAAGAAAATACGTATTTTATTTAAGAAAAAGAGGGTGGTTATGTTTGTAATATGATCTTCAAAGTTTTCTATTATATTTTAATTATTCGTGCTATTACAAAGTTAAACTATGTTTACATAGTTTCAATAGTTAATTTAAGTTTATTTGTCATTATTCTTCTTTATTTTTTTTTAACTATTGCATTTCGACGAGTTACTACGAAAACATGCTTTCTCCAATTTAGCTTCGAAAACATGCTATCTAAAATTGTACTTGGAAAACATACAAAATTAATTTTGACTAAAATTTAAGTAGGCTGCATTGGCACGGCACATTGAATGATTGAAACCTGCACTTATAATAAACTTATAGGATAATATATTTTTCAAAAAGTAAGGAATATTTATGTTCAGGTACACTGTTTGTTTTATTTGTTTCACTCAACATTTTTCAATTAATTTTGTTATGTTACTGTTACAAACGACAAAATTGTTAATTAAAAAATAAAATAATATGCAACACGTACATTAATCGACGTTTTTTGAAATAACAAATTATAAAAAAAATAGTGTATACGTCAATACATAAAAATGTTTATTATTACTAAAAATTATTCGATTTTTTTCATACAAGTTTGCTTTGATATAAAAATTAATAGTGCACTCTTATCTCTATTTTTTTTCCACAACATCTGAGATGCATCTTCTGTAGTCTTGCATAGACTTTGGAAATGAAAAGCAGGTATGCGACACTTTTATTACCGGTACTTTATGATCTGCTGGATATCGATGCGACCGGCGCAGATCAGATGATATGCACGTGCACATGTTTATCATACCTATCATTCATCTTTATACATTATATTTATATTCTGGTTATTATGTTAACTCTATTAATGAAATTTTATGAATAAATGAGGTTTTTCTACAAATTGTTGCATCTTGTTCTTATTTGAAAAGTAACGATTACAAAAACGATTTCACAAAAAAAAAATTATATTTTTAATTATGCATTTATAAATACAAAGCTGTGTGTAAAATCAAGACTTTATCTGAATGCAAGTTAAAAGCAATTATTTTGATCACAGGAAACTATGATAGCTCCATATTACAAGAAATATTCGGACACCCTGTATGTTATAAAAGAGTCATACACGTAGAAGTTACGTTTCAAGAAAGAAGCTATCATTCCGCGTTCTTACATTATTTAAAAAAAAATTTTAATATGAAGGCCTGTATCTTGGTACATTTCCGGACCAAAATTCATACAATTTTTGTTGCTTATTTGTATCTGAAAAATATCTTCTTGAAGTTACAATTTGTACAAAGTACAATTTTGTAGATAGGTACACAATATTTTAAAACTGACGTATTGTATTAGTAATAATGTAATATTTATAGCAAATATGATATAAATATGAATAAGAAAAATTGAGGCTTATCATCTGTATTGTATTCAAAAATAGTGTAGGTATAACAGATATATTAACTTTAAAGAATCAACCTATCTAAAAGATCTGTAAGCCCGTATCTTATCATACGAAAAAAAATCGGCTTCTACTGATACTATACTACAAAATTAGGTAGGTAGGTACTACGTGACATTTATCTTGTATCACGGTATAAGCAAAAAAATTAAAGAGATTCCCTTTTTCTTTGCATTAGTATCAAAATTTAAATTCTATTATCATTAATACAGATATAAAAATTAGTCTATAAATAACATTGCATTATAATTATTTCCGCAAAAACAACCAACTAATTTTTCGTAAAGGTGAATGGTGACCTACAAAACGTAAATAGAAATAACAAGGTTAAATTTCATACTGTAAAGAAGATAAAAAGAAATTTTCATGTCGGAACATTGTTTTAATGCCAATAGGAAACCTATTAAAGAATCGAGCATTCCAATAATTTTTTAGTCGATTGTGAAGGAAAAAAATATTTTTTACTTGAAAACTTTTAAGCAACATGTTTGCATTTATTTTGGTCATTGTATTTAATATAATATGTTCAATAGAAAACATTTGACAACACTACATTGAAAATAAAACGCAGATATAGGTGAGAAAATAAGTTGTTAACTTTTCGCAAACTTTGTTTTGGTCCTAATCAGGATATATAATGACTTTCAGTCCCTCTGATAGTATAAAAAAATACTAATTTATTCTTTAAACAATAAATATTCTTATGAAAAATTCAGTTAACAGATATAATACAACATGTTATGGCAAAAGCTTTGGGTGCTTCATCGCACAGTTGCAAAGCCCAATAAATAAAATTCCGTTCTTTTCAGCAATGAGAAAACCTACCATAAACCCTGCAGTGCCCATGAAACCGCTATACTGGACCAGAATCATAGCTCCACCAGAAGTCACTGATGCCAGCCACCAGGACAACGCCCTCTGGAAGGAAATAGAGGAATTGCCTTTGGACAGTTTATCAGAGTTCACAGAATTATTCTCGAGACAAGTCGTCACCAGAAAACCGACGTTTAAAAAACAAGAAGAGAAGGCGAAAGTGGAAGCTATTAAGTTATTGGACAGCAAAAGATCTCAGAACGTCGGTATCCTAGCTCAAAGTTTACGCGCCGATATCCAAGAAATCGAAAATGCCATTTACAATTTTGATACTTCTATTATTAGTTTAGAGGCCCTACAGCAGATTTATGAAGTGGTGAGTAGAGAAATTATGTAGCAAAAGCGACGAATTAACCAACTGTTCCCGCTGACAAATAAAAAACACTTTTCCTCAAGTTCAGTTAAAAAAGTTATAAATCTGGCGGCGATACGTATCTCCTTGACGGTAATTAACGTTCCTCTTTCTTTTCAGCGGGCAAATTCCGAGGAATTAGAATTAATTAAAAGCCATCTATCATCCAAGCCTGACGTCCCTCTGGATAAGCCGGAGCAGTTTTTGTACGAGCTCTCTGAAATATCTCACTTCGCCGAGCGGATATCCTGCCTCATGTTCCAGGTGGAGTTTGACGACTCCATTAGCACGATTGGGAACACTCTGACTAACATTAAGGCAACTTGCGAGGTAAGATCGTCGCTGTGTGTAATCGATGGCGATAGAATTTAATAGAAGGAGATTCGGAGTAACTGAAGTGGAAAGCAGTATAGATCGCATCATCAAAAAAAAATAAAAAATCTGCACAGAAAGGAAAAAGCTTGCTTCATCCATACTATAACATAATTTTACTGTTTTCAAACGTATTATAAGAAATAGCTTACAAAACCAGTAAGGGTAATGTCACTATTGCTTTATATTCACCAACAGCTTCGAGGTCTGTAAACTACTTCAAAGGCTTTTTCCTTCTGAAGAAGCCGATATAATGAGTAGGTACTTCCCAATAGTTCCTTTTTTGTCTGAAACTACCACTTCTTCTGTAGAAGAACCACGAACCACTACAACTACTAAAACGATTAACATATCAAAATGATTTCAGTATCTCGTAAACAGCGTCGAGCTGAAGGAAGTGATGGCCATAATCCTCACCCTTGGAAACTACATGAACGGTGGAAACATGACAAGGGGACAAGCCGACGGCTTCGGCTTGGAAATCCTATCGAAATTGAAGGACGTAAAATCGAAGGATTCGAAGATAACACTATTGCATTACATTGTAAGGCTGTATATGAAAAAAATTGAAAACCCTTTCGAGCCCAACTTGCCACTGCCTGTTCCCGAACCAGGTGATATAAAAAGGGCGGCGTCTGTGAACTTTGACGATCTCAGGGTGGATCTGCAGAAGCTGCAGAATCAGTTGGAAGGTAAGGAAGCTCGTTTGGGTGCATAGAAACAGGTTGCGTTTTATTCTTTGCCTATATTTACCTTTGGACATTTTGCATAGCTTGAAATTTATTCTATGAAGACTACACATGTGCACAAAATATGACTAACTTTCTAAGCCTGAAACTAAACTATAATTTTCTGGCATTTTTCGATGCGCTGTATCCGAATTGCTCCATCGCATGAAGTTTTAGATATAACCTAACCTAATAGCGCGTAAAACATATTTTTCACTATATTTGAGGTTAGGTAACTTTTCTCAGGACTAACACTTTTCTTCAGACCTCAGGCCGAAACAACAGACGTTTTCTCGATGAGGAAAGATATTCAAGGGATTTAAATAAGATTATGAAAGGGTATAGTATTACTTCCAGATGAATTAACGAGTTTTGTGGAGAAAATTACTTCGCGATCGTATGTAATGTCAAATATCTCGAAAATCGGACGTTGAAGCAATTCTGAGACAGGATTCGGATTCAGTGGGTCAAAAACCAAAAAGTGTAACATAGTTTGGTTTAAAATTTTAATAACCGACACTTACTTTTTCAGCATGCGAAACAAAGTCTCAAAAAATCATCGAAGCCTCCAATCCTGAAAACTTGCAGCCGTTCAAGGACAAGATGACGGCGTTTCTGGAACATTCAAAGAAACAGCTCGCCACGGAATTTGAATCTCTGGAAGATTGCCACAAGCAGTTTATTTCCACAATGAAGTTTTATCTTTTCAAGCCCAAGTCAGGCACGTTAGAAGCTTTCCCGCCAAATTCTTTTTTCGAGCTGTGGTTGCAGTTTTGTATAGACTTTAAGGATATATTTAAGAAGGAACTGATGAGGCTTGAAAAGGAAAAGTAAGTTACTCGAAACATAGTAATATTTTTTTTATTCATAAAAAATTCTTTGTAGGATACAAGAAATTAAAAGGAAGGAATTTGAACGTATGTCCGAGGGTGTCAAAATAAAAGAAAGAGAGAATGGACTTAAAGCGAAAATTAAGAGATTACAAGCTAAACAAAAGAACAAGACCAATGATTAAGTCATTCTTAATTTTAATTCCGCAATTTTTAAAATAATTTATTTATTTTGTCGAATATTTTATTTATATATGTACGCATTTGTTACAATTTTTTAAAGTCTATATGAAAATATAAAATTATTTTTATATAATGTTAAGTTTTTATTTTACATATCTCCATTTACCTAATTAATAACACCATTATCAAATTATTTAAAGCACACAAATTTTTTCTGTTTAATTTTCTGTTTAAAAAAGAAAATAAAAAGACAACTTTGTTCAAATATGTGGATTGCTTTAGATTCTTTGCAATAATGTATTATTTATTAAGTACTTAATAATATTTATTATTATTATTTTTTAATTTGTACATTTACTGTACAAATTAATACGTACTTTTAAAGTTTCAGTTATAAAACAAATATCTACTTGAAAATGTTTGAAATAATTAATAAGAATACATTTCCCGTAAAGGTATATAATAAGTCCTTCCTCTTTTTTTGCTAAAATATGAGTATAGTTCCTGCCCCAGCGTAATCTCTTTATAAATTCAGAACACTATCAAATGTCTCGCGAATACAATTCTGAACGCGACCCTTGGTTTCCACAAAATTCTCATTCCTGATTGGCTACATGAACACGGCTGATGTCAATAATTCATCTACAACATAACCTCAGATTTCCTGAGTTTTCTTCGGTTGTAGGTGTAGTAACAAATCAAATACATAAATATGAACGTTCAAAAAGTAATGATTCTTAGAGGTAGGGCTTACCTTAGGTTATGTACTTAATACTATATTTCTATTTGTTTTTAGTGCCTGCAACTGTATTACTACAAAAATGTGGCATGAAACACTTCCCACCGCCCCCAAAATATGAGAGTGAGTAGAAGTGTTGTTTCTTCAAGAAACATAGACATTAATTCTGTATCTTTTTAGATATTGAATTTCCCGAGAGACCAAAACTTAGAATTATGGAGAAAGCCCCGCAGTTACCTCCTAATGTCAAAGCTCCCAAAATGCAAAAGAAATTAAGACTAATGCGAGGCCCTGAAACTGTCCATAACTTCTTACAGCATAAACAGTACGGAATAATGGTACAGAGACGGTGGATTAAAAAATGTAATTTTAAATAATCGACACTTTTAGGCTCTGGGCGGTGGTCGACTAAAATCGGGTCACTTTGAAATGATGCGACTTACAATAGGACGGAAAATAGATACAGACAGAATGTTTGCCGTTTGGAGAGTAGATTCACCATGGCAGCCCGTTACGAAGAAAGGACAAGGTCAACGAATGGGTGGCGGCAAAGGCGCTATTGACCATTACGTAACGCCCATAAAGGCAGGTTAGTACTTCTTCTAAGACATTGGAAATTTCAAGTAGTCCGAGTAGTATGTTATAACATATTTACCATTGTACCAGGGTATATACAGAAGAAAGACGTAATATTTTCATGTTTTATACATCTTATATAATGAAAACGCAAGGTTAAACGCAATTTATTTTGATATGGGTTATCTGACTAATACCGGTTTTCAAATTTGAAAAGTGCTTCAAAAAAACAAAGTAAATATTGAACTGTTCTTAAATATGTTTAGTTTTTATCGTTAATGTTTAGTGTTGTCAATATTAGATCGCGAAATGCACTTTTAAACTAAATATTGATAATTTTTTTTATTAAATTCATTAGTCGAGTAATAGATAACAAAAACTTGAATGCGAAGATGTAGACTCTGGTAGTACTGCTCATTTTGATGCCAATAAATCGATAAAACACATTCTTACTCAAAATTTGGCTCTTAATATTTGGAATTGGCCGTTTTAATTAACAGAAAATCAGGCTTATAAAAAATTGCATACCCAAAGATCCGACATATTATTTCTGAAGTATTTTGATGAGCTAAAAACTATACCATAGTCAGAATTTATACACGATCGGCTAGTATCTTGTAAAATCTATATTTATGGTGAAAACGGACCCAAAAATTGCTTGATCATAGTCTAAAATTGATTTTGCACTACATAATGTCTGACATATCATTTTCAACATATTTTGACTAGCTGAAAATGATACTGTAGGCAGAATTTATGCACAACTGGCCAGGGAAAGGAAAGATTTTCAATTTAGAACAACAATTTGGGAATACACGATAGTTCAAACTGAGACTGTAATTATTATATAGATTATCACGAATTTAAAACGCTTTATGCGTGATGTGTGACTAGAAATTATAAAGATGTTGCTCGGTAAACTAATAAAACATTAATGATGTTGATTTTTGTATGAGAAGATCAGTAAAATTCAAAAGTATAAAATATATATTGTTCCTTAGCTAGAATACATAATGAAAATTTAGTTCTGAATTTCAGTCAGAAAAAAAAGTTATACAAGGTTTCCTTTTATAAGGAGTTGCCAATTAAAAATTCAATCATTTACCACACACCATCAACATGTCTGTTAAGTTTAAAAAAAATTTAAAACCAATATGTTTCAAAAATTTTAAAATAGCATTCACAAAAAATATCTTGTGGAAACATTTATTAATCCAACTAAAGAATAATGCAAAAGTATTATTTTTAATGGAAATTAAATAATTTATTTTTTACCATAAAACATATACCTGTAGATTGAAATAATATTTTTATTTAGAATCATTTTATGGAATACATTTTTTACTTACCATGGATACATAGAAAATACAGTACTAACGTAGAATGAAATGTCCTTAATATTGTCACCAAACCGTGAAACAGCGCCACGTAACGTTTTGGAAGCTTACTACTACGTAGCTCCTAATGAGTAGGCTTTATACTTTGTGAATTGATTACAGCGCCATCTATTGTATGCAAACGACTTCTCACTTATATCCTCTATATATTATTTAAAATTTTTTTAAAAGTAAACCCATATACAAATAGGAATAGTCAAGTGTCAATACTTTTGAGAACAGATTATTTAGTTAAACAGAAAATGTAGAGAAATACTAATATTCAGTACTTTTCTAATTCACTTCTGCTTTGATAACGAAACTAGAGATTTCAGAAACGTCATAGTGTTATTGTGATGTGTATTTGTTTTTCCAGTGCGTAACCAGACTTATACATGTAGATGTATGTCTCTGGCATCTCACTATTAGGCAAAAGTTTTCAGTATTGACACTTGACTATCCCTATCGGTACAAGGGATTGTTTTTCCAGTTTTTTTTTCAAACTATGGCAAAATATCCAAATTATAACAAACATTTATAATGCCACAAATAAATACAGACAGTTTCTTCTTATTTATTATTTTATTATATTATAGTATTTTTCAAATTTTCACATTTGCCAAGATACTTAGTAAATGGTTTTGATAAGGAAATAAAACATGTTTTAATAATTTTAAGTTTATTTTGTATCTACAAGAAATCCTAATTGATTTATACAGAATGTTGTTATGCATGTACTATTAAAACAATTTCTTGTTATGTATTTAATTGTAAGTAAAAACGACAACAATTTAATTCATTTGCTTCATAAACTTGATAAGTTGGCAAGTAAGCTGTAAAAATATAAAAATTATGCATGAACTGTTATAATAATCTCACTTTCCGGAGAGTATAACCGAATATTTGTACAATATTGGGTTAAATTCAATAGTTCATATAGTTTGGAACTTTCAAACCATAGAAAACTTAATATTAACACTATATTTTCTATGTCTCAAACTGAATAAAGAAAGCAATTCACCACCATTAAAAATTTTGTAAGCATCTAAGTATCAAAGGTTTCATAAAATATTAGTTGGAGTTTGTCATCATACACATAATTATTTTTATCTATATTTAACTTAAATAATATGTAATTACATGCACATTTTATGTGGACTGTTTCTAATCGATTAATACAAGTAACGAGTATGAGTGTTCCACATAATGTTGGTAAAGATATGAGTTTGGTTTTTAATAAAACTATATAGCTTAAAACTTACACATCGTATTCCCAGTATAAAAGCACTAAATAAGCACTCTTAAGCACTAAATAATTATAAACACTATTCTTGCAATACTATAATTTACAATTTTCACAGGATAACCTAAGAAATCAAAGATAACAAAAGCCAAACTTCAAATACGTGCAAAGTCCAAACTGCATTACCAACCAACCCAAAATGACAGGGCTAGCATTCTCTGCGCCATCTTTTATTTTGGAAGCTAACTAACATGCGACGCCGCCATGACAGTTTCATTATTCATATGTTAGATTTCATTCTACGTTAGTACCAGCGTACAAATATATGATATTTGTACGCTGTTAGTACTATATTTTCTATGCCATGGATATTATGTTCTTTAAACAATGCAAACGATAAACCTGTTCTTTTTTTATGGAACAATGTCAGCATATAGAATTAGGAAGACACCAAAACCATTACATAACTTTATCTCTTCAGTAATCAAAAATGTGAACATCGGATCCATTTTTACAGCTTCCATCACAAAACATATAATACAGCTTCCATCACAAATAAGTTTTTTATCATTCAACAGTTTTTATAACGCACACTTAACTCAAGATTATCTCCTCAATCTAACCTCAAATTTACGACCTGAAAGTTATGGAAACGAAGAAGTTTTACAATAGACATGTATTACACACAACAATAATTAATTATATATAGAATCATTTAAAATCGCGTTTCACAACGTAAGTCATCGTTTAATGATTGCCGAAATTGTTAAAGCTAACGCGCGTCGACATTAAAACTTAAAAACAGAAAACAAAAGAGCATCGCATATTATGAGACTTTGTAATTGTAATAGAGGTGCATTAGATTTAGAAAATAGGAATAGAAAATAATGTTTTCTGATGATTCACATAATAGACTGCAATATATTGAATTATATAGATTAGTCTAATAAATTGCTTTTAGACATTCCAACGAAAGTAAGTTTTAATTATTAGTCTTTATTTTATAAATAAATGACCCTCAATCCTTATAAAAGATAAAATAAAACTAGGTATGTCAAGAATTTTTAAGGATGTGTTAAAAAACAATTTATTCAGGAAAATTGTTTGAGTAGATATTCACTATTTTAACTTGTACACACTACAGAGCGTTACTTGGTATTTTAGGGGAAAAAATGATTTCTAAACTTCAATAATAATAAAACGATAGTAAAAAAAACAATCTACTTACTTGGAAATTGGAGTCTATTTTCAACGGTGTGCTAATTTCTTTGCGAAGTATATGCCTATTTGCTTTATTAGAATAATTTTATGCTTGTAGTAGACTTCTAACAAAGATTTTGAAACTATTTTTGTTCAAAGGCCGGATAATTCTGGAACTGGGAGGCAAGTGCGAATACATAGAAGTTAAGGACTTCTTAGAAGACATAGCGATGAAGTTGCCATTCAAGGCGATGGCGGTATCTCAAGAAATGTTAGACGAGATGAAAGCGAAAGAACAGTGGGAGGAGGAGAACAATCAGAACCCTTACACTATGAAATATATTATCCAGAATAATATGGGAGGATGTAATCGATGGCTATCGCCTTACGATTATAAATTTTTAGGGAAATATTTATAAGTCGTAAATTAAACAAATAAAAATGTAAATATGACACAGTTTTATTAATTTGTTTTTTGTATTAGTAAATAAAATTATTATTTTCAGTCCTTACAGTCTTCAGGAGGTATGTCTAGCGGGAAAGTTCCTACTTCCAGTTGGTCTTCCCATCGCGATACCCAGTCGTTGGGGCATATGGATTTGAAAATTTTAGCAAACTGTTCGCAGCACTCGTTTCTAAAGTTACAGTACATTTACCAAATATCACCCAAATTATTAATTTAGATGTATCTACAGGGTGTGCAGGATTAATTGGCCAAACTTAAAATTTTGATTAGGGCGGTGAGAATAAGAAAGAGTCCTATGAATAAATTCCCGTTAAAACTCTTTGTTTCTGTAGTAGGTATAGGAGTTAAAATTAAAAAAAAAAAATTAAATTAAAGTACCCACATGATAAAAAAAATTGGATGAAATTTGCAAAATAAAAAATAGGGGTGGCTCAGTCTGAGATCTCGGAAGAATATTTATTTTTCTTTATCAACTGATAAATACAAATATGTGATTACGAACTCGAGGTCAGAATTATGAAATTCATTTTTTAATATTTTTGTTTACTTTATAACCTGAGTACCTACCCCGTCATGTTTTAACATTTTTTTTTCGGCTATATCTTGTTCTTTTTTCTGTAAAAGATCTATTCACGGGATTTCTGCCTAATTTCAGATAATAAAGTCCATAGGTAGTTGATTAAATTTTTAAAAACGAATTTTGTAAATTTGGTCTCGGATTCGTGATCAGTGACCCCGAAAACCCTAATACCAAATTTGACGCGAATGTGTTATTTTTTGAAAATTTGGTCGGCCATTTTGGATCCGCCATCTTGAATTTTCCAAAATTGACCTCGGATCCGTGATCGACGACCCCGAAAACCCCCCCTACACCAAATTTTTTGAAAATTCGTGATATCTGACCTTACTTAATTGGGTCGTTTTTTTGAGGTTAGAAAAAGAACCATCAATTCTGACCGGAGATTCACGTTCAGCGGGGTATTAACCATGTATTTTTCCTGACACTAGAGAATTTTTGCTATTTTGACCTTTTTTGAAGTTAGGAAATTCCTGTGATGTGATCGCTCAATTCTAACACCGGATTCGTGATCAGGAGGCAAAAATACTATGGATAACATATGTCGCATGAAAAGTACAGACAATTTTTTCTTGTGTGACTGTTATTAAAACAATATATTTCATTTACAATTTTTTTCGTTATGGAATTTCACTATGTGGGCCTAGAAATCATCTCCTAAAATAACTAGGCGTATAATGCTTTATTATCGAAGTATAACGACTTTCATTTCTTATTTTTGCGAGTTCTCACTGGGAAATTGAGAAAACAGCATTTTAAAAAAATTTAAATAGGGAATAAATACCCTAATTTTTACGAAATTTTTTGTAATTGGACTTTCCTTGTGTGGTCGTTGAGTAAAAATATTTAATCATAAGAAAATATAATTATGTAATTAGCTGCTTGTAACAGAAAAAAATAAATAAAAAAGATTCGTGAGATATATGTTTCAAGCTTCTCCTAAGTACGCATCCACAATTTCGATTTGGTCCCCCTGAGAAATTTTTCTGCGGACGCCCATGCATACTGCAAGACACATTTTGTTTCACAAACAACCAGGACTGGACTAGCAGGCCTTTTTTAACACCTACAGTATTTACCTCTTATAAGAATCATTTCATCCATCTGGAGACGAGCTGTTTATCAAACTCTATAGAGATATTTTAGGATGAAACTTTTTTAAATTTTAACACCCCGTATTTGAAATATTCCTTCATAGGACATTTTTTAAACTTCGATCAGAATTAAAATTTTATTTGACCAATTAATCCCGAAACACATTCTCTTACTCTTCTCCTAGCAGTCTTCGACATCTGTGGTAGTCTACAAAAGTGGCAAAGCACCAGTTGGTGACATTCGTGTTTTGAAACCTCGGATCTGCTAGCGCGGTCTCTATTGGTGGTTGTTCTTGTTCCTCTGGTTGCTCCTCTGGTTCTTCCTCAGTCATGTTGACAAAAAATAAAAATACTAATATTAATACTTATATATTATTTTCATTCTATTCTTTAGATGAACTCACACTTTCAATTTGGTATGTTGTGGACAAGTTGGGACTGGAATTTTGATTTCTCTATAACTAAATTCTTCGAAATACTATTATTTACATTTTTCAAACGATTTCTACCAGAATCTATCAAATGAAAAGTCTAAAATGACATCACTGTCAGAATTAAATGTCATGGGCACCTATAAGAATGGCTATATTAATTTTTTTGCTACAAACTGTTTCATTTTAATCTGTACTAGACATCACAATCTCGGTGTACCTTTCAGTTTTTGGAAATAAATGTGTAAATATTTGATTTACAAATTTATTAATTATGGTCTATTTTTTACAGTTTGCGAGATTTTTTCATGTTTTTTTATGCCTAGTATTAAAAGTTTTTGGAAGAAGTACTTTAAGACATTCAGAAAATAATCAAGACTAACCGAAACTAAAATAGCAACATCTAAAATTTAGCATATTATAATACTGACGTCTTCAAACTCAAATTTCAACGAACACCGCCATCATTATTTCGAGTGAAATTATACTTTCTTAATTAAAATTGTAGGTAGCAACTTTTTACTTTGACGTCTAATCGTGAGTGCCTTACATTTTTGCCCCGATTTAATTAGCCTGGCTTCCACAGATAAGACGAAAGCATAATTTCGCCTCAAATTTTCCGGCAGCTTAATCTTGAAAATGAAATAATTATAAGCGCGGGGGAAGCCTTAAGCGGGACACTTTGTATATGTGCAGGAGAGAACTGTAAGCCGAGGTTGTAAATGCAAATTATAATGGGGGGGTGTCAAGACTGCTTTAAATATGGATAATCCTGCATGGAACAAATTTAATTACGTTACTGTTACAGCAATGCAATTAATAGTATCTTACGTAATAAGTGCGGTAAAAACACAGTTAGACAAGTATTATGTGCGATATTTTATCTATAATCGTGCATTTTTTAAAATATTTGTTACCCTTTAAAAACGTTACGCCACTGTAAACTTTTAATATGGCCTGTAACTATATTTAATGCCAACAACTAGCTATCTCTCTGTTTTTAAAAATAATAAAATCGTGCTAACTTATTCAAAACAGTTCCTCGCGATGGTGTGTCACGAAAAAGCCCATTAATGAAAATACTCTAGCCCTTATTTTGATGACAATTATTTTAAAACCAAAAAAATCTGCCTCACTGCTACTACGCCTTGCTGAAAAGCACTTTACCTGTGAAAAAGAATATAAATATTGAAATCAGATCCTAGACATGCTAGAAAAACTTAGAAAGATACAAGCTGAAAAATCCAGCGTATTTAGTAGACAAAAGGTGGGAAGGATATTTATGGAAGCATCAGATGAGTTTTTTTTATGAAATATGTTTTTTTTTCTATGACTTTTTAAGATTTAACTTTGTCTGCTTTTTTCAGTGTTAGATTTTTGGTTCGACAAAACTATTTTCATAAAATATCTATTTTGGAGCAAAGTTTAATTCATTAGTTCTCTAAATGTTTTCACTGGCAGCAAAACACTCAATAAATACATAATTAATATATCAATTGTATGACAGTTCTCGAGAGTTGGGACAGTGTCTCAACAAAATTAATACTCAATGGCGAAAGGATATATCCCAATAGCTGGATAAAACTGCCTCGGAATATCCTTAATAGAAATAACGTAAAAAGGAAAGACCAAATAAAAGGGGAAAAGACGACTGGAACAATATAGAACCATAACAACTTTAATTAGCAGAATCTATCTATAGGGACGTATTAGAGATGAAATCGATAGGCAGTTGAGAGATACTGAACCAGAGTACGTCTGGATATAACGAGCGTTCAAATAAAAACGTGGTCAAGTTGGTTCTGAAAATTTGGACGTAGGGCGTAGCGTATAGCAAATGAACTTAAACGTCATCGGTCAAAGCGCTATATCGCCGCTATCAATTTGAATATTTTCGTTTTAAAAAGCGTTTAAAATGGTGTTTTCTCAAGAACAAAAAGTGTTTATCATAGAGTCCTACTTTAGAAATGGACGCAAGATTGATGGAATATGGAAGTATTCTATTGAGGAATGTTTCATAGAATTTCAAAATCAATTTCCCGGCGTTGTTGAGTACAAAATTTTTCAAAGTGCAGTTCAGCGTTGTGTTAATGTTTTTCGTAAAACGGGCAGTGTAACAAGAAAAAAAGGAAGCGGCCGACCTAAAAAGCGGACTGAAGAATTAAAAGAAAATGTCCAACAAATAATGGAAAATGCGCCAAGAACTTCTGTACGTGTTTTATCACAAATGGTGGGAGTATCAGTCGGTACGTACCTGCCACACAGTGTTAAAAAAAGATTTGCGTTTGTTCTCCTATCGTTTAAATAAATAAAATAAAGTTATATAGTCATTAACGTTATTGAAACTGACAGCTGCTATACAGCTCGTTGAGAAAACACCACTTTCAAAACTACTGTGTGTAGAAACTAGATCACGACAATTACATAATTTTCTAGTTTTTTTAAATTACCGTAAAAATAATCTGTATTTAATGCAAAAACGCAAATTCCCCGAAATATTTTCTGCGCACCAAAAAACGGGGGCCATTTTGAACATCTACTTTAAGTAAGTTGAATTAACTTACTCCAGTTCTTTTTATAGGTCTTTTTCCCATTGGTCTTTAAATATTTTATTGTTGTTAGCTCGTTTGCCTCTAAACCTGCTCCAAAATTTTAGTCGAATTTGAAACGTTCAAGTCAACAATCTCGCGCGCGAAATACAAAGAAATACATCTGGAACTTCTAAACACGAAAAGTTGCAAAAAAGTACTTCAGAATAAAGCCAAATGCTTAAAATTATCTTTAGGAAGCATCAAAAGCATAAAACACTATAAAATACCACAAACACAACCTTGGAATTATTTCAGAAATTTCAGATTAATCTTTAAACAACAAGATGCGCCAAACTGGCAAAACGATTTTTTTTAATTTACTGGAAAACACCCATTTCAACAGGGCGATGAACGAATTAAAATTCCGATCTAGTCCAGTGCCCCAAATTCAAACAAACAATCCACCCCCCCCCCCAGATTAAAAGCTAGGACTGTAAAGAGTTTCATGAAGTGCTCATCACACCCTCACCATTCCATTTCTGTTTCCTGGCCTAAGATTGAAATTAAAGCCTACGCACACTGAAATTTACATATTCCACTCTTCGGTGTTCATTAAGGATTTTAAGTTGGTCCAAATCACCACCAGACACCTAAGTGCAATGGCATGTCCTGATTAGCATTGATGTAAATAAACGGTTATGGGTGGCGAGCCGACTTCTAAATTTGGCTTCCAAATTGTCCAATGTAGTTGCTTCACGATTGATATTGACATAATTGCAAAGCGGACAAATCGAACACCTTAAATTAAAACAAGAGGCAATGTTGGTCTCCAATAAAAGTGACAAATAAAAAAAATGTCAATAAAACCACTGATTTAAGTAATATAAACTTGAAATAAAAATTTAAGTACACTTAGAAATAATTTGGCAAGATATTGATGGCAGTTTTTTTTAGAAGCTGATAGCCTTAAATTAACCATTTTTCCATGTCTCAGGCCTACTTTGATTTTTTCTGCATTTTAGATCTGAGTGGAGGCTACCTTGAAATAAAATTTCATGGATTTGCAGAAGGTTTTTGATTTCGAGCAGGTTTTGGTGAGCCAAATGAAACGTAAAATACATCAAGACAGTCTTGGAATACATAATGGTATCTTGTATCAAAACAGCTGGAAGTGGCTTTACATTCCTTCAAAGATATCAGAACAACTATAAAATAATCCTAAAAATGCATAAAAATTCCTCAAATTCAAAATTAAAATAGTCCAAACACCTCCAAAGATTTAAGAAAATAGAAAGATACATTAAAATGGTATCATAAATACAGTCTGATTATAGAGGCCTCGAGTGGTTACCCATTTTTGGACACCCTGTATCTTTATACTGTAGTATAACAACCCTAGGTTCGACAAAAAATAAGTAGACGTAGTTGTGGCCAGAAATATGTGATCGTCATAAGGACTACCTACGTTGTATGTATTTAATTTTTTATTGACCGGAAGGCGCTGGCTACTAACTTTGTAGAGGGGATGCATGGTTTAATTATATAAAACAAAAGCAGAGTAAATACACCTAACATTTATTTACATACAATTCAAATTAAACATGTGACAAATAGAAAGAACAACAAAAACATTAACAACCATTAAACATAAAAGGAGAGTGCCAGGCTCACCTAGAGCTCCTGCGGGGAAAGAGCATGGCAGAGAAACCCACGATCGTTGCTCTTACCACCCAAATATAAATACAAAACAACCGCCAACCAAAGGCACACATTAAGAACCTTTGCTAATGATCATCAAAACTGGACTTATTTAATTTCTCACTAAATGTCATCTCACTCAAGTCTGACATACACACTTCCAAGTAAAACTGAAGAGGTTTTAGTAACAATAATAGCAACAACAACAACAATAATAATAATAATAGCAATAATAATAGGGAAGGTACTGGAGTCCCATACGGGAGGCAATCCAGCTATAGTTGAGATTTCAGGGGAACAACAACAATAATAATAATCATAGGTAAGGTACTGGAGTCCCATAATACGGGAGGCTATCCAGCTAAAGTTGAGATTTCGGGAGAACAACAACAATAATAACAATAATAATAATCATGGGTGAAAATGTTAGTAAATTCAACAAAGCTCTTACATACGTATGACATTAAGTGAGCACAAGAAATCAAAGAACAACGTAATCAAGATAAAACAAGTTAAATGTGAAACAAAGAAGTTGTTTTGCAATATCTGGGCAGACACGACAATATACATATTTTAACATGTAATAAATAATGAGCAATCGTTAATAATAATTGTAACAATTTTATATTAGAAAAATACAGGCCCCTGAGCGTAAGAAAATGGAAGCTAAACATACAAAGCATTATTATCATGAAACATCTATAACCATCACAATCATAAGATCACAAAGAACAATTAACAACAAAGTACTTAAAGAATATTACCTGCTAACTAATAACACTTTAAACAATTAATTTTACACTACTTTGACACACTGCCCGCCGTTCGTCTTGCTACCTATCTGCACACTGTTCGCACTTCAACTACCTATCTTCGACTAACTAGGCTTCCTTCCAGAATTTCCTACCTAAGTGCCTGTTTTTTGTGCTTCCTTCTACCAACCGTTAGTATTACTTTTTCATTGTTATACAACACCTATG